ATACTGAAAGATCTCTTTTGTTAAAATACATGACTGCCAAAGCATTGGATGCAATCTCTGTTGCACCTTTGCCCTTTCTAAGGGAAGAGACAATTTGCAGTTTTTGACAGGTGTAATTAAAAGCTTTATTTTAAAATTTAAACATGTTCTATAGAAACTCCGTTCTCAGTGATATGCCTTTCCTTCCACCCATTCCAGGTGGATTATTTTGGTACCAGTCAATGATTCTTGGTCAGTGGCTGGGAGCTGGCATCTCTCACACAGCTTCTCTGCCTTACTGAGATGTCCAAATGCTGTGCATGTGAATGCCTGTAAAGCAGAGGGGTGGGAAGGACACCCCAGTGACCTGTCTGCTCTGTTTAGATGTTTTGTAGGAATGACCTCTTTTGACCTCCTACCTGAAATCTGGAGCTGGGCTCTGTGGAACTCACAGGAGCACATCAGGGCTCTTCTAACTGCTCCCTGCTTCCCAGATCCTCAGCATCATTATTGCCCATGGCAGTTCCCATCACAGCATTTCCATTCCTGGGTTACTGAGGGAGACGTGGTTGTTTTCTGCTGTACTGTAACGTGCTGCAATGACTGGGTGAGGATAAGGGCTCTGGAAAGAGTCCAGAGCAAGGGAGGGCTTTGTTCAGCTGGTAACTCTTGTTCACTGCCCTTCACCACTAAACTGGATCCCATCCACATCTTTTCCAAAAGTGCATTGCATTCTATGGCCTTTTTGTAATGGGCCTGCCATCCAAAACAGGATGTAAAGGGATTAGGGCAGGGGGTGTTTCAGACAGGCCTCTGGCAGCTGGATCTGGGCTGGATGAGAGGAGCCAGAAGCATTGAATCTAAAATTTAAAGAGGCTGTCAGAGTAGCCAGACCTTTCCAGCAGAACGTGGAAAAGCTTAAAATTGAATATCCTGTGTAACAGAGCAGCCAGTAGTGCCCCTCCCCATCAGTTCTGCCCTCTTTTCACCCCTGCCTCACTTCCTGCTCCATGCTCAACAACTGCTGAGGCTGAAGCTGGTTGATGGTGTGTGAAGAGCACAAAGACACAACCTGAGGAAGCATTAATTGCAGCAGAGCACTGGGACAGTAAAAGGCACCCCCAAAGGACAGCCTGCTCCAAAGTGTGTGCAGCACATGTGTCACTGGGCTGTAATTTGGGGGGACTGGGAGGATGTGTTTCTTCTGAGGCCATGGCAGTGTAGACATGGGAACACCCACTGTGACACCTGCCTGGTCAGCCAGAAAGATGAGAATGGAGCATCTGGCTTGTGGAGACAGTCTAGGCTGGGAGATGGAATTGTCTTGTTTCTATGCAAGGAAGGTTGGGTTTTGCTCTTTGTTTTTTTGCCATATCCAGTTAAATATAGCTTTTTAATTAAGGATAAGCCAGCGTTTCTACCACAAACTCATAAAGAAACCCACTAAATTATTTGTTGGGTTTTTAAAAACAGGCAGTCTCTTGAGAAGAAAGGTCTAGGACTAAATTAGCAAGAATGCTGCAGGTCAGGTTTGAAGTACTGCATGGTGACAGAATTGTTTGGGAAGATTTGCCTGGAATTATCTTTCTGCTTATCTGAGTTACCCTGCTGAAATCATTCAGATTATTTAAGTGAAAAGTGTCTTTCCCCAGTCAAGAATTTTCTTGAATAGTGAGCAATAGTGATTAAAGCAGGGCTGGCCTATTACTGAACCTTTAAGTGAAATATTGCTATCCAGAATTCTTACTGTGTAAAAATCTCTTCACAATATCAAACTTCAAAAACTGTTCCTAAATAAGCATAGACAATTTGCTTGCGTGAAATTTGTTATTTCTTTTTCATTAAGTGGTGCATTTTATCTTCCATGTGTCAATCCAATCAGGTAGGGGTGGGGTTTTTTTCAGCTATAAATCAGGACTTTGATTTTATGATGTCTTTATGCCAGTTCTTACAGTTCATCTGTTTGCCATTGAAAAAAGGGTATTTTTTAGGCACGAAGATTATTTTAACAAGGAGTGCAGCCAAAGATACTCAACCATTTTAACATAATACTAATTTCTATGCAGTGCACATATCTAGGTAGTTAGTTTTTAAAAAAACTCTCATGACAGCTATTGGAGCGCAGAACTTAGCTTGATCCTACTAAAACCTGAGCAAAATCCTATTTATTCATTCAGACAGAATATTTCCATTTTGTAGGTATGTAGGAAGGTTTAATTAACATTATATCAAGGTTTTTGTTTCCTCTGTTCCACAATTCTCACTTCTCTTTCTCAAAAGAAGCATGGCAAACATATCCAAAAGATACTTTCAAAGGAACTCTGGAACCTAAGAAATGTCTGAGAGTCCATGGGACACTCAGAGTTGTGAGCCTGATGAGTTTTCATGCTACAGATGTTGAGAAGGCCCTGGTCAAAGTATTCTTCCATTACCTTTGGGCTCTTCAGTATTTTTGATTTCTTGTGGTTGGACACTGTATGTCCAGAGTCTGGGTTAAAATATCCTTATTTTTTTGTGTGATTGAGAAATTCGTGCCTTCTCTTCAGCCTATATCTTATCTTCTGTGTATTTCTCAGGAAATACATTTAAGGTTAAAGTAATACAAGAGTTGAGAGACATAATCTAACAGATTTTGTTAAAAACAGCCCACTGAAATTATTGTCAAAATATACAGAAGGGAAACGAAGTTTAGAAGTCTGTTTGAAGATGTAATATCAGTACCTTTAATTCAGTTTGTAATTATGTAGAAAACACAACAAAACAAATACCAAAAGCCCCAAATCCAAAGCAGAACATATCCTTATACATACACAAAGTACTTAAGAATTCCCAACGCTTTGAAGACCCTGCATTTGTACTATTTTAAAAATCTGGCAAGACTATGCCTTTTTCAGCAGTGTGTTATACTGTTCAATAGTTTTTCATTCCTGACTTAGAAACTGATTATGCATCCACTGAGCATAAAACTTAAAAAGTAGTGAGCAAAGCCCAATCAACATTTTTATAGAAAAGCACAGGATTCACTGCCAAAGTGTTGTAGTTCTGTGAAGCTGTGCAAGTGTCCTGGCTTGCTTAGATTGAGTCCCTCTGTGGCCCAGGCAGATTTTAAAGTTTAAAAATCTTCACTTTCACTTGAAAAGGCTTCCTGGAATACACAGTAAGTAATGCTTTTATCTCCTCAGCACGTAACAATAAGTCCAAATACAATTTGAAAAACTAAGAACCTTTTAAAATTTCAGAAGGTCCTTGCAAGAATTAAAACAACAAGGAGATCATGAGTGGGATGATGGAGGTCTGTGCTCCCTGTAGGGAAACAGAATGCCCTGTGTCCCTTGGGAATGTGGCTGCACTGCCAGACTTTGGGTACTCATGGGTGATCTGAATCTTCCTATGCAAGCTTTTCCTTCTCAAATTTAGGCTCACTTAGTCCCTACCTGGAGACCAAAATTCTCAGCTGTGGCATCATCTTCAGGTCCCCTCCCATGTGCCCACATTATTAAAGTTGGAGGTGATGGTGATGAGATGTTGTGATTTATTAAATGGTCAGACTGAGTCTTAGCTGATGGTGCCAGTTAAGGTAGCACATAGGAAACATCCAGATCCTGAACACTCCTCCTGACACTCTCCACCCAGAGTGCATTCAGAAAGGGACATAAAAAATCTGATGCCATTTACCTGCACCAAAAGCTCAGTTTGCCCAGAGTGTTCACCCATTTCCCAAGTGGTGCATATACAAATGTACAGGTACAAAAAAGCAGTGCAGTTGTACATTTCTGCATGAAGTACAGTACTTCACTATACAAAATTTCCAATTTTTCTGTTGTTCAAACTTATGAAGAATCTTGTTTTATGCCAAACCCATTTGTATGGCCATATGTTGATTTTTCAAGGCAGGCTTATAAAAAGTTACTAGATTGCACGATCACCTTGTCTGTCATGCAGGTAGCTTGGAAAGGAAGGTAAGTGGGAAAAGTATAATCCAATATGAGTATAATTTGTGAGAATGATGTAAGAATATTTTAGGAAATCAGCATCCTTTAGATGGTGCTGAAAGGATTCTCTATTCTGTTGACATTTTGAGAATCTTTCAAGTGAAGTGCAAAATATAAAATAGAGTGGATCTGTGAAAACCTTAATGTTGAGTCCTTTGCTTCATTGTGAAGCAAGTGGTTGTCTATGGGAGCTCTGACAATGCTATTCAATCTTCTTAGTGTATGTTTTTTAATGTGTGTTCCATTGCTGTTAAAGAGGCGTTAAATTACTTTAAAGGAAACTTTCTAATTACCTAGCCTAAAATAAGTCCAGTCAGAATGTTAAAAATACTCTATATTCTCCTAAACATTCTGAGCAGGTTCCAAAAATCCCACTGACTGTGTGTGTTCCTGTCTTCTACCTGCATCTTAAAAAAAAAAAAAAAAAAACCAACAAAAAAACCACTTCTAGCATTTGCAATTAGTTAGAGACATCACCTATTTGAAGACTAAGCCTGTCAGTTCAGTTGTCTTAATGAAAGAATAGTTCTGTACTTCCACTATATCTCTTTTTTAACAGCACTGAAATAAAACATATGAATGTTGTCTTCACTATTTCATTATTTTCATTTATTTATTGAAATAACTGCACTGACTTGTGTTGCCTGATGTTTGTATAAATGGTAAAGTAAGTCGTGCTAACTGTTTAGTTAGGAGGATTCACTCCCTGTCTCTTTAGACTATCATCCTATAAATGCTTATATAATTTACTTGGCATATATGTGTAGCAGGTTTTCAATTAAATGAATATTGATGGAAATATTACCCTAGGTTATAAAATAATCAGAGATTGGTTTAGTTCCATTTTGTGGAACACCAAATGCTGTATTGTGACTTAACTATTAAACATGTGTGCAGCTACTTTCAGTGCACGTAGTTCCCAGTTTTTATGTGTAAAATAAAATGCACATTAATGTGTGATATCTGTGTATGAAATTTGCAGGTACTAAGAAAAAGTGCAATGGTTAATGGTATGTCTTTATTTTGTAGCTTGGATCATCCTCCTCTGTGCCTTTTACATCCATATTCTCGCAGCTGTTTATGACTGTTGTAGTCCCTCTTATTATTGGACAGGTATGTCTTTTAAATATACATTCTTATTTTAAAAAATAAGATAAAGAGAGCTATCTTAAAGACAGACTGGCAACCTGATAAGCTGCCACATAGGAACAGCCTCAGGATAGTGAAGTCTAATATCAGGGAAAAGATGCTACAGTGCTCCCTGGAGCCACATTGATCTTTGTTGAGATTGAGCATCTGTCCCTCACTACCACAAACATACACTGCTGCAGAGCGAGGAGGGAGCTCGTGAACATAAAGTGGGAAAAATGGCAGCCCAGGCTGTGAGAAATTCCAGCCCCATACAAATGAGCTTTGAGAATACTACACAGTCCTTTTGTCACATGCCCTTTGCCTGGGGGTGAAGGAAGTCCTTCTTCCCTGTGTAGTATCTACTAATAATTACAGGAATAAAAAAATACCAACATTAATAAGCATATAAAGGCTAAGCAATCACAAGTTAAGAAATCATTAAATTAAGGCTGCTCAAGCCACTTTGCTTATGTTTTGCAATAAGGGGGTTAGTTGCACAACTACAAACAAATTTTGCATGACTTCTCTATCATGTTACACTGGGTGGAAGATATTTGTGGAATGAACAGTTATTCAAGGTTTAATTTTATACTCATTGTTCATATGTTCACACAAAGCCTTGTTCACACAAAGCATATGATAGAAAACTTTCATATGTTTTGTAATGTAAAAACCGCTAATTGCACATACAAGGTTTTCTGTGATCCTTGACTCTGTAGTGTCTGTCTGTTCACAAATGTTAATATTAATTATTTTTATCCCATGTCATGGTGGGAAACCACAATAGTAAGACTAAAAGTTGTCATAACTGTTGTCACTGTTCTTGGACACTAAAACACCTCAAGTCTAATTTTTACTTACTTGTAAGTTTTGTTGTTCTCAGGTGTTCAGAACGCAGAGAGGGAATATCAGTGGGATTTAAAGCTCATTCTAGCATCCAGTTGAACTCTGGGTTCAGCTGGAACCTTCTAAATTTTGTAAACCTAAAGCAGACTTTGAAATGGAAGGCATGGTTAAAATACAGGCAAATGAAAGTAGAGGCTATAAAGGAGCACCCTGAACAAGGTTAAGAATATCTGTCATTGCCTGTGCTACGTAGGACAGTCAATCAGTCTTGTATCAAACTATAATTGCACATTTCAAAATTGGCATGTACTGAAAATTAACAAATTCTTAGTGAAGTTTCTTTTGATTAAAAACACACTTTGAAGTGTAATAAAGGGAAGAGCATGATAAGCATGGCAGTAGTCAGCAGCAGCAGCACTTCAGTGTAACCTCTCTGCAACCATATCATCTGGAAAATGGACATTAGCTCTGTGTCCCTGAAGGCTGTGGAACTGCTCTCATGCTTTGAATTAAATGCCAAAGACTTTCCTCATTAATTAGGACAAAGGGTTGCTGATTAACCTACCTCTGTATTGTGTTCTTACCTCATCAAAATTAAGCGTCCACCGAAAGCAGGCAAGCAAAAGTACTTGAATCCTCTTTTGAAAGGTCCAAACACTGGAAGCTGTTAGTTGGATGCCTTAGGTGGAAATTTCTAGGAAACAAATGCACAACAGCAGATTTAGCAATAAAGTGTCCTATAGCCATGGAGTATAGCATCTGTGCTGGAGTCCAAAGATGATGGTAGATCTCTGGACAAAGTGATGGCAAAATTTCAAGAGAATTTTCATCTGTATATATAATGGAATGTTACTTTGGTAAGATGTTATAAGAAATTGATATGTTAGCTAATTGTTGGAGTTGGGTGTTCTTTCAGCTGTAAGAAGTGATAAGGCTGAGTATCATGAATTGAGCAGCAGGCATATGAAGTAAGTGCTCTGTGTGATGACAAGATCAAAATCAGAATTGTGATGAGATTGTGATTAACTGAGATGGGATTTAGGAGTTCTGATAAAGACTGAAAGAAAAATATAGAGAATCCTAAAGCTTTTGTAACCCAATGACAAATTAATAGTTTGTGTTTTTATAAATACACTTCAACAAGAAATAGGATGATTCTTCTTTAAAAGTGTTTGAAGCAGTTTCTGGAAGTGAAAGGTCAACAGAAATATCTCACTTTCCTCTAAGCATAAAGACTTTGTTTCTGAAGTTACTGCACTTGACTATATCTGTTCAGAGGATGTGGAAGAGAAGAAATGCTAATAAAAGCTACAGATCAGAAATGCCAGTAGTTTACATTGATTATCTTGATTAGGTAGAGCTGTACAAAGGTAAACCAACCTGCCCAGGTAGGAATAGAAGCCATTTCTGACGGTGGATATCCAAAAGTAATGGGCATGAGTCAGGGAAGACAATAAACAAGAAAAAGACTGATATCAAGAGATCCAGTGCCAGGTCTTTTTGCCCTTCATCTGCTCCAATTAAATGGGAAGTTTTGCCCTTTGTTCATAGACCACCACTGGCTCATCACTGAGCTGTTGCCTGACATGTGGCTCAGGGACATGTTTGAGAATCACAGGCTGCTCACTCTGGGGGTTCCAGATATGTTAGGAGATAATGGCTCACAGTTCTTGAATTATGCCTTCAGCAATTAATTTGAATTTATCATTTCATGCCCACGATATCAATTCCTTACCACATGCAGCCATACTTTTCAGCAGAAAAGCAGTGGAAGAATGCCTGGTAAGGTTACCTGGTAGCAAAGAGCTTGACTGGGGAAAAAAAACAAACAAAACCCAAGCTTGGAGGATTGCCTCTCCTCAGCCTTCCTAACTCATCTGTGATCAACAGGAGCTTTATGCTCGAACCACATCAATGTAAAACAGAGGAGGCTGCTTAAAGAAAGCGTTCTCCAAGGGCTCTATTTTCCTTTAAAAAAATCTTGCCTCTGGGAAAACCTGTGTTGCCTAAATGCTCATTTCCTGAGCAGGCTGCAGAGCTGGCTGTTTGAGCAGCTCCTGGCATATAAGCAGAGCAGATAAGAAGGTGCTTTTAGATTTGTTTTGTTTGGGTTTTTTGTTTGCTTTATGGCAAAAAATATTAAGAGTTTTGGTTGCTTGGCTGGCTTGTCGGAGTTTTTGATGATGACTGGGAGAAAGAAGTCACAATGGTGTAATTGATGTTTATTTTCTACTGTTTTTTGAACAATTTTTTTAGCTTTTTAGGACTGCTATTGACAGGAGTCAAGCATGCTCTTCTAGCTGCTGACATTGAAATGTGTAAAGGGCTGCAGGTAGAGGCTCTGCTCAGGTGGTGGCCATTCTTTAGGGGAAGAAAGAGCTATTAAAGGAGGAAGAAGATACTATGTTATCAGAAAGTCATGGAGTCTCACAGATAGCAGTGATTGATAGATGGTCTCCAATAAGGATAATCACTCTGTTCTTTGTCAGAGATGTACAGGTTGTCTGAACCTAAAAAATGTCTTAGCCTGTGTCCTCGGTGTCTGCAGATGTGCTCTGCTAATTGACAGGCTGATGTTACTCAAATCAATATTGATAGGATAATATTGCATTTGTATTTGTAGAGTAACGAATAAGACCCCTCTGACAAGAGGTCTCAAAAAGGGACATAATCTATAGTATTTTATAAAGATCTAATTTTCTATAAGCCTTGAAGATCTGTAGTGGGTAAGAGCTTGTTATTTGTGCATCACTCTTGTATACCTCTAAGGGGAATTTGAGAATACTTGTTATATGATAAACATGGTAATAGATATTTCATGGAAAAGATTTTTGAATCTGCTCTGGCAGCTTGAAGTTCTGATTATATTTTTATCTGGGTAGCAGAGTCCTGGGTGAGATTGTTGCTCCTGAGCTGTTGTGATTTTTCTACAATCATTGTTTCCTTGCCCATAGATATTGTTAATACTTTTAGCCATCAAAATGTAAGGTTTTGAGAAATATCCAAGCAGTTTCATCATGACCAGTTGTGAGATTTAGCTGGAGACTGTTGTTTCTTTGCTTATTTTTTTCTTCTGAAGTGACAGATAACAGGAACAGTGAAACCCACTGCAATGTTTCCTTTCCCCTTTTTGCAGACTTTCTCCATTCCCTGCACCTAAGTGCTTATGACAGACTTTTATTTTATGTTTTATATTAAAGAGCGATTTATGATTAAATGTTAATGAAATAGAATTTTCACTGTGCTTTCATTATATTCTACTAGTTTGAACATTTTTCAAAGCAGCACACCAAAACCCACTGTTTTCTATGAATAAATAATAAAAAGCTTGTCTGTACATTATCATTCATGCATTCTCTAGTTGCCCCATTGGTAATTTGTCTGCCAGCATAAAGTGGGCACTTCACATTAAACAGACCTTAACTAAAGCTAAAATTAATGTTATGATTCTGTGTAGTTCTTCTTCCCAAATCTATAAAATGAAACCAGCAGTACAGAAACCCTCACTGAATCTAGTCACACACACAAAAAAATCTTAATGTCCTACAAGTAAAGGATTTTAAGTGCCTTCTGCATCATTGCCCAGAATGTTCCAGAGGAGCCCTATCAGCATTTGGGAGTTGTGCTTATAAACACAAGTCTAAAAGGGTGCTATGTTGCAATACAAGTTGTAAGTGAAATTGAAACTAAAAAGCTTAGCAAGGTATTTATTTTTAAAGAATGAGAAATGGAAAGGGGAAGGCTGTCAGTAGGGAGTGGAAGGAACTATTTAACTAAGGTGGGGAAAACAAAAAAATAACAAAATTGCTATCAAAAAAAGGGAGGAACAGTGTCAAATCTTTCTGTTCTTTTAAATTAAGTCCACATAGAAATAGCCCTGATTCTCTTCAAAGTCCAAAGGAGCTGTGGGGAGGAGAGGTACCCTGGGAGGTGAGCTCTCTCTCCTAGGAGCTTGTTGCAGAGGACCAAAAAAGCAAATAAACAGCCTTCAGAGCCCAGTTCACTCCCTACTAACACCTGACTCAAACAGGGAACTGAGCCTTGTTTCCACAGAATACAAAAAGGGAAGTACTGCTGCTATAGGCACCCTTCACATTTTTACCAAGTTGCACCTGTTTATAAGGTTTTAAAACAAT